AAATTTTATTATATTTATTAATCACGAATCCCAAAAAGGCAAATGAAAAGCGACAGAAAACTAAAAATATGACTAGAATTACAATGGAACTGATGAAAGAGATTGTTGAGAAATACGAAGGTGGCATGCGTGTTCGAGATTTTAACTGTTGTTTACCGTATTCCGAGAACGACGATGTGGACAATCGCGAAAAATAAAGGCATTATTAAATCTGCTAACGTTGCGAAAGGGGTTAAATCAATTTCTAAACAGAGATCGAAGACATCAGATCATGTCGAGAAATTGCTTTTGCTTTGGATAACTGAAAAACAGTGTGCTGGTGACAGCGTATCAAAAGCAATTATTTGTGAGAAAGCTAAAAAGATACATACTGATCTCATGAAAAATCAAGCAGGAACTAGCCAGGAAAGCGAGATGTTTAAAGCCAGCCATTTTTTTACACGAGAACGGATTAATCATTTTTACATTACTTTTTATGGGAAAGGTTGGTTTGGTATAAGTCCAAACATCGGGAACGGATTAAGGTCATATACCGAGGTTTCACTGTACTTTAAATTACAAAATTCTAATATTTTTATTATAAAAATTAGAAATATTCTTTTAAATTAAAATCTCTTTATTAATAATGATTTATTATTATTAGAAGTAAATTGGTCTGTAAATGAGAATTTTTTTCTTCAAGTATTTAAAGTATTAAAATTAGAAACAAAATATTAAGAAGTACTATAATTCATAAGTATAAAGGAATTCTATTATATATATAATACACTTAATAAATCTTTCATTAAAGGAAACTCGGCCAGATGCATGATATTGTTATGCTCAAAAGCATTTGGTGGTAAAATGATGCCTTTCAGAATACATAAGAAATTTATGAATAAAAAATTGATTTCATTGTTTTTTTACCAATAATATATTATTTTACTTTTTTTGGAAATTTATGTTCAAACCTTGTCCAGATTCATTCATGATATGCAGTAATATACACAGCATTGTTCTCTCATTCTATCCCTCTTTCATGTTAGCTTTATTGCAGTCAGATCTATCCATATGGCATACAATATTCTTGTGCCTTATGTTAATCAGATAGTCAGTTAAAAAATGTTTTATTTACATTTCTAGTCTTATGTTTTCTTTCATTGCGAATGCATATATGGTATGTTTTAATTATTACATAACATTTACATTCAAATGATAGAATGACATTATAATTGTTAAAAATTGCATAAAATCAAAAAATTGATAAGTATTTTTATTTTTTCTTCGTATCAAGTTATAATTTGAAATTTTCTCATCAATTTATTGATTTCTTTATGAAATTCTAAACCAAAAGTATTGTCAAATTTATGAATCTTGGTTTTCAGTTAGACGACATGTTTTATTTTCCAATATGATGTTCAGTTAGAATGTCATTTCAATGACATATATCATATTTGTCATTGAAATGACATTCTAACTGAACTAATCTGATTCTATTTGAATATGAAACCTTATAATGACTACAGATTTAATTTAAAATGTTGGTTTCAAAACAAAACTGTTGCTGGATAAAGATATATATATATATATGTTGAAAGACAATTTACAATTAAATTAAAAACAAATGCATTTTATTGTATTTATTATGACTGTCATAAAAGAATATCTTTGTACATAAAAAGATTTTTAAAGTGAAATAATTCATAATATTAAATTTACTTATATGTTGCTGCAGTATATTTTTTAATAGCAAATGAAAAATGTGATTTAATAAACATTCATAAAAACTGCTTTATCTGCATCATTAGTATTAATATTCAAGCAATTCCTTTTTAGTAACTCATTCACTTAGCAACCATATAATGTCATTTTATTAACAGTAGCACAAATAACAGGTTACTATGTGTGTATGAATAAGTTTGTATGAGCAGTGATAAATTTAACATTGCAACAAGGAATTTATTGTTCTATATTTTAATCAGTATCATATGTATGCTTTTCTTTCTAGTAAAAATATTTAAAATAATTAATAATTATACTGAAATAAATTATTACTGATTCTCAAACTGTAAATTAGTTATCCTTTAGATGATATATATTGGGTTACTTGTCATTAAATACATTAATTTATTCAATATTTATATAAGATTATATTATTTCACATGCAGGTGGTGGTAGTTAAAATTTATTATAAATCAAAATAACCCATAAATAATTTAATTGATAAGAAATGGACTGATTTAAAAAAAGCAGAGTATCATTTGCTGTTGATTAAGAATAGGAGATATAGTTCATTTAACTGTTTATATTTACTTGTGTAAATCAGTACAGATAAATAGCTTTACTTTCACTTTCTTTATCATCATCATTTGATAAAAAAGATGATAATTAAAATTACTAGATGATTTAAGAATATTTGGATTGTTTTATGTAATTTTATGATGATGAACTTGTTTTAATTATAGTTACTGTCAAAGGAGAAACATGATTTATTTTCTTTATAAGAAAAATTATGATAAATAATATATTTCTGTTTAAATCCAATATGACTAAGACAAAACCTTTCTCACTTTGTTTCTAGCCATTTAAACACTGATTACAAATGTTTTCGGCCTTCTTCAGGTACACTGTGGTCTGCTAGGACGGCTAGAAACAAAGCGAGAAAGGTTTTGTCTTAGTCATTTTAAACAGTCCTAGCTCCAAATGCATAGAAGTTTAAATCCAATAATAGTTTAAGTTAAAATGTAAATATTTTGAAACTTTATTTTATTAAATATTTATTTTTCCTCTCCATTAGCATATTTGAGCTTACAGCTGTCTAGACTAGACAACATTGATATTATTTAATTGTCTGATAATATAATCCTTGAAGTGAAAGGAATGAAATATTCTTGTATCTTACTTTTATTAAGATTATTCAATTTTTATTACTTAGATTTTTATAAGGAAAAGAAATTTAAGTGAATATTAACTTACTTTTTCCTTTACAGTATTTTATTTGATGTTCCGTAGACACATCAGCAAAATCATCTACGTATTTTATTTGCATGCTTTAGTAGTAATAAACTTTTTATGTAAACTTTGTACTATGTCTGATAGTTTATGCTAGATTTACTTTTTATAGATTTCTTGTTGATCATATAAACATTTATTTTTAAATATTTTTATGTATTTAATTAAATCAAAGCCTAATCTGTACAGGAGAAAAAAAAACACTCTTTCAATAAAGAGGTTTACAAGTTACCTAACTCATCAGATACATTTCCAAACTGAAACATAAACATTCAAATTTCAAATTAGCACTTATGCGTTGAAAATTAATTAGAAGAGTTTCTTTAATCAAAGGCACTTTTCTATTAGTTAAACATCTACAAGCTAGATTACATTTCAGTTATAATTGAGCTAATTACAAAATGGTTATTTTCCAAATTAATTAATTTCTAATTGTTTATGGAGGCTACCTGCTTACTTTTAGCCAAATTATTATGTTTGGCTAATTTTATTCAAAAATGCTTTTTTACGATACAATATAAGTTAAGCTTAAATTTTTAACCAAACATAAGTTGAAATTGTCGGATTATTTTTAAAGGGATTTTTTTATTGTCAAGTATTCTACAAAATTGTGACAAGAATGAGATTAATTTTTAATTAATGCAATACATGATGATAATTTAATTAAGTTTTGAATTGTTAAAAATCCTGTTTGATAGGGGTATGACAGCTGTACTTTTTTAATAAATTACTTTTCAGTAAACAGAAATAAAAAAAATGCTATCCATGATTAAACTTCAATTTTTAAACTACAAAAAATAATTTATTTGTAACTATTCTAATCAAATTTAATACATATACATATATAATTAAAGAAAAAACTTGGTTTATGCTTCATAAACTTGTTATTACTTCTATTATATTTTAATTATAAATAAATAGAACTTTACTAAAGGAAATAATAATTAAAAAGTTATCTTTTTATTTGTTTTTTTATGTAATGATCAATTAAGTGTTACAAAATTGGTTATGGAGAAAAATTAATGATCGTTATAATTAGTAACTAGACAAGTAATTAAATATGCAAAATTTAAGCATGAAATAACTTCTTAATCTTTTATTTAGTGGAGGAATATATTTGAATATATAAAAAATTAATGGAATATATACATGTGTAAATAAACAACTTCACAAAGCCAATTTTAGATTAAAGCCAGGTGATCTGCTGAATTATCAGGCTATAATAAGGCTAATTTATTATAATTATTAAAACGATCACATGATAGCAGCTGAACCTTGTACCTCTAGACAAATTACTTTGTATCTAACTATTAACTTGGGTATTAAATTATTGAGCTATAATAAAGCTATGTATAAATTTACCAAAACAGTTTAAAAATCAAACGATATTAATGTTTCAAAAAGGTTGAATAACAATAGATTCGATGTTAATGAAAACAATTCTAGTAAACATATGCCAAAGAATGTATTGTTCTTGAATTACATGCTGTTTTAACACAAGTTGCTTGCTTCACATAAACAGGAAAATAGTTAATTTTGTGTTTATTGCAAATAAATTTTATAAAAATGCACAAGTTTTGAATATTTGTCAATTAGTCATTTAATTAAAGGCTTTTTTCATCCTTTCTAAAGTTGTTGTTCGTTGTCAATTTCATGCAATTAAATTCGTTGCATAACTTTTGAGGGTTTTTTTTTATTAACTTTTTACTAAGGTTTTAATACTTGAAATTCATTCTTTTGAACATAGCTTATATTTATTGAAACATTTTAATGCAAATTTACTTACAAAAGCATGTTTTGTAAACAAACTTCTTATTTCTTTATTAATCACCAGACGAAATGATAAATTAGTCTAACATCTACATTTGTTGTGACTAGTAAAAATAAAAATGCCTACAACCACTTAACTTTGAAAAAATATGTTAATATATAATAAAAGTTATAATATTTACATATAATATTTTAAACTTTATCATTTAAAATATGATATCATATTTTTACTTTTGCAGGAAAAACTACAACTGGTGTCTGTCTTGGGAGCTGGTCTGTTAGTTGGTACTGCCTTGTCTGTCATCATTCCAGAGGGAGTCAACACATTGTATACAACACAAATAAGTGAGAAGATGTTGAAATCTATAATTTTCAAAAACAAAAACGTAATTTCCTATAATTATTATTATCATGTCATAGATGGCAGATTGACAACAGGATAATTTTCATTTATTCAAATTAAACATATGCTTTGTTTTGGCCTAAATTTATAATAAATTTAAATCCTGTTTCACTGAGATTTTATACATGAGAATTAATTCTCGCTATATTTGAAATTTATAGATTTTTTTTTTCATTATTTATTTAATTTATATAAGTTACATGTTTAACTAGAGATGTATGGCATTTTTATTGAGATATTGTCATTTGCTGTATAAGTTTACTTACACAAGAATGTAAAGTTAATGTTATTATTTACACTTGGAAAAAAAAACAATCAAAATTCAGTCAGAATGACTAAGGACCAAAGTTTTTCTACATAAAATACTTTTAATCTTTTACAGATTCAGTTTCAAGCATATAATAATGCTTTTTTATGGGCTTATCAAACAGGAACTTAAGAGACAATATGGCTGAATTTAGACTTTATTGATATTAGTTACAAGAAAAGAATCGTTATCAATAAACTCTAAATTCAACCAAATTGTCTTCTAAGTTCCTGTATGATAAGTCCATAAAAATAAAAAATGATATTATATGCTTGAAACTGAACAAGTGACTAGAATTAACTAATTTTAATATGTAAACTAATGTAGTATAATCATAATCATAAACTCAATGAAATTTTTAGTTTTATTAGTTAAATTTTAAACTTACAATTGAAAAAGTTACTTTAAGCTTTGTTGAACACAGCAATACATTTATCAGGTCATTTAATAATGTGTCGTGTTTCAGATCAGCCATAACTCATAGAAATTTAACACAAGCTCTTTAGTCAGATAGTGATAAATGTATCATATTTTGCCACGTGCAACAAAATTACCAAATATGTTGAATTATGTCAAAGTTAGTAGATTAATGTGCATTTTGGAATTGGAAATTTGTTGCTACAGATACACATCATTATCAATTATTAAATCAATAAAAATAAAATACAATTTAATCTTCTCCATTTGTATATTAGATATTTTATCTACTAAGCAATTTTCTAATAAAAATAAATCTGTGGACAAAATTGATCAGAGGATAACTCTATCTGGTCGATAGAAAAATTTATTAGCCTAATTCTAAAACTAAGTCAAAAATACATCAAAATCAGGTAATTTGATTTTATACTGTATTTGGCTTGGCATCATCCTAAACCAAGTGCATATTGATTATACAGGGTGATTGGAAAATGTCTGGCCAAAATTTAAAGAGGGTTAGAGGGGATGAATATAAAAAGACTCGCAGTATGTGCTTGTCTGGAAATGCTGCGTGAAAGTCTTTGAGAGTAAAGAAAGTGGAAAGGTAAAAGGAAAGAGACACAAACAAATGTAACAAGCCCAACCTTTGCACAGCTCTCCCATTTCCATTCGCAGCTCCATACATCAGATGGATATCTGCTAGTTCAGCATTTGTGAAGCGCTGCATACTGTATGAAATCACAGTAGGGAATGACAGCTTCCCGCATTGCCGGGTTGTTTCGACTGCCCTACACAGTGCCCTCTACCACCTTCACACAGTACACAGTGTTTCCGGACAAGCATTGTACTGTGAATTTTTTTATATTCGTCCCCTCTAACCCCCTTTAAATTTTGGCTAGACATTTTCCTCTCACTCACTAAATATATGTTTGCAACTGTTTTGAAATACCTACAAAAAGCTGCTAATTTCTTATACAGTTTAATCATAGTTAAAAAATTGTCATTTTACAACACTTAATATATGTGGGTGTTGTTAACATTGCTTAATAAGATAATTATAATTTAAAATCATCATTATCTCAAAGTATATGACTAGAGAAGTTATGTGTATACAAATTAAAATGATATATTTAATTTGTAAAAATTATGAATGAATAAGAAAATTTTTTTATAGAATAAAAGAAAACAAAAATAGTATTAAATACTTAAATTTAATTATGTTAATATGTACAGTCAATGAAATAAAATTGAATTGATGAAAAATCTTTTCCAGTTAAACTAACTTCACTAAAATATCACATATTTGTGGAAGTATTCAAATATTCCTATGAATGTATTTTATTTTTTTAAGATTATATTTTTTTAATTAAAAAAAAAATATTAATACTTCTTTTAAGAAAACACTATATTATAAATGGTTCTCAAGATATATTATTATATATGAAAACTAATTTGACATTTGTTAATAATCAAACAATGCACCATAATCTTATTGTGCTATAATACTACCTATTCATTATTAAGATACTAAGCAATTTAGATTAGAGATGATGGCTCAAATGCTTATCTCTAGTCCTTATTAGTATTTTAATAATGAATTAGCTCAGTAAGATTCTGGTTACATTGTTTAATCAGTTACATTGTTAAACATTAAAGCATACAATTAAAAGATTTATCAAAAATACTTTAACAAATTCCACTATGTTAAAGTTGATAAGTTATCCTATTTGTAATTTTTTAATGAATACATTATATGCATAATAAAGATAGCAAATAGATAAATAATGATTAAAAATAGTTTATTTTTAACTGGAACATAATTAATCTTTTAAAACATTAGAAAAGTGAGGTTTTATTCTCAAAACACATCTTATTTTGATACTTAACCAAATACATTTCAAAATTTTTATGAAGTAATAAACTGACAGAACATAAATAGGTAGTCTCCATTTAACAAAAATGAAAAACAGCTTTTTTCCAGCCTTTCTTTACAGGCTTCTAGAATGAGTGACATCTTTCTCAATGGATAGGCACACTTACATATTGATAAAACAAAATATATTATATAGGATATTAATAAGCTAAATATACAGGTTGTTCTGCAAAGTAATCACAATATTGTTACAGCATGTTCTATATGCCTAGGGAATCTATAAATAGTCTACAAACATAGCCTCCAAACACATTGTTTCAATAAAAGGCAAGAAAGAATTAAAAAGACAAGTGAGCTATGTCCTGAAGATAAAAAGCTGAAGTGTAGCAAGGTTAAAGTTTTTCCACAGTGCTTAGAAATGTTGCAGAGCAGCAACCTACAGAGGTGCTAAAAAAAATGCATTTGAAGGGCTATGTTTAAAAGATATTTTTTGGGTGTCTGGCCTCTAGAACATGCTGTAAAAGTATTGTTATTACCTCATAGAACACCTAACCAAACGATTGCCTTAAATAATTGGGTTTATAAATCTGCTAACGATTAAATACTAAGTAATTTGATACTAGGGGTAGATGTTAGGCAACATCTCTTTTATTATGTAAAACTATATATATATATATATATATATATAAGTTATATTTATGGTTGTTATAAACCAAACTTTTAACATAACTATTATTACTGGTATAGTATATTAAATAGTATAAGTATTTATGGAAGACCACTTTCAAAATAATCATTTTCTGTTAGCATCCATATTGTTTGTCAAAACTGGAAGCCATTTTTATAATGTCTTTAAAGACTCTATTTGCCAAACCCTGACTTCTATTAGTCATTTCTGATCAGCAAATAACAGACCGTGGACATAACAGTGTCTTTCAATATTCTTACTCTTGATTTTACATCTGCAGGCTTTTATCTATTCCCAAAATGAAAGACAAGTTGAAGAGATGCAAATTCTGTCAGAATGGAAGTTAGTAACAAATGTCATTAAAGGCATAACAGAAAATAGCTTCTGGGACTGCCTTCACAAATGCTACCGATGCTGGCAGAAAGTAATATGATGTAAGAATATCTGTGTATTGATATAATAAAACTTTTGTGAGATATTCAGTTTATTTTTTCACTCTAATACTTTAATTTAAATACATAATTACAGTACATTTGTTAAATGTATCATATATACACAATCACTTACAAAAGACATTATATGAAAGACCTATTCAATACTTTACATATAAATTTATAAATTAATAATTATTTACTACATAGTTTAGAAAATTCTAAATAAAATAGGCTTACTATAAGTATAATTTGCTATGCAACACTTAAACCAATGAATTAATTTAAAACTATTTTTAAATTAAAAGAACACTAATGATTATTTTTAGCATGAGGTGCTAATTAACATACTTTTGACACATGAAAACATAAATTTACAACCATTGTCATTCTTTATAATTACAATGGTTGTAAATTTATTTATGAAAAATTATTTAAGAAATGCACCAATTTTTTACAAAAGAAACTTTTTTAGTTTTTGAATGACTTTTTCATTACTAATATTTAATTTTGAAAATGTAACTATATTTTTATGATCAAGGTAGCATTATTCTAAAAACTGTTTACTTGAGCCTTACCTTAAGGACTTGTTACATCACAAAAACTAGAGGACAACAATTGTTTTACAGATTTTATTGTAACACAAATCTGTATTCTAGCTATTCAGTATATTAATTGTTTTTAGTGTAACAAGTTTGTAAATAAAGTAAGGTTCTTTTGAACATTTTTAGAATAATTATACAATAAAGACAAGAAGCAATTAACATAATAAAAGTATCACTTTATCTTCATTTGCTATAAATTAACTTTAGAATGTTTTCAATTGCATTAAATTTAAAGATGATGACATTTCCACTGTCTGGAAAACACTTTTTCAATTACAGACATATTTACTTAGTATAATTATTTTATTTAGTCTTATGTTTTGTTTTGTTCTGCATCATTGGTCACGTGTTATTCATTCCCTTCATTGGAATACATCAAGGTGAAAATCTTTCAAAACAATTCAAGAGCAGAACATTAGTACAGAAATATTCAGTTACAATTATTTTTCTTTGCAATTTTGAATTTGCACTCTGTATTTATTCATGTCTGCTGAAAGTAATCGTTTTAAGAGATTGAATTTGAACCTTCAAAAAAATAATGCTGGTAATGGGTGATGGAATTTTGAATACCTGTCCTGGTGTATGAGTTATCTTGAAAAACTTTCACTAGAGATGGCCTTATAAAGGCCAAAAATAATTTGAGGTTAACATATAGAAACTGAAGATAAAAGTTAATAGGTTCCTACACAGTAAACAGTAATAGGTTTGATTGGAGGTACAGTATGGTATTTTATTACAGTAGAGCGTTGTTTATCCGAATCAATTGGGGACTGGGGTTGTTCGGATAACCAATTATGTACGAAAAAATATATTAATTTATCCCGTGTTGAAATTTTTCTCCGTTGCATGTTGCTTTGCATTGAATTTTCATCGATGTTAAGCCTAACGAAGACTATTGTATCGTTAAAAATTATTTTTTTTATTTTGTAAAACAAAATAAATATCTTGAAAAATATAAAAACAATAAAAAAATTATACTTCAGAAGTTAATTTAGTATCAAAAACGTAAAATATTTGTTAGGTGTATTAAATACTCGGTTCAGATGTCACGCCAACAGTTAACTTAATCAAAAACTTCATTAAGAAACTTCAGACTACGAGGCATTAAATAAAATTAGAAATATTTTAATCTTGCAAGCGCTTTCAACGTAAATATGTATGTCGTCTTCAGGCAATTCAAATTGAATAGAGAAATCGATTGCAAGATTAAAATATTTCTCCTAATTTTTTTTAATGCCTCATAGTCTGAAGTTTCTTAATGAAGTTTTTGATTAAGTAAAATATTTGAGTAGCCGAAGACATAGCCAAAGATTACAGCACCACAGCACTGGCGAAAATTTAAATTTGTCAACTGAAATTTCTTCGGATAAACGACGCTCTACTGTAATACAGTAGCAAGTACAGTACATACTCGGATTAGGTATAAATTAAACAGTTTTGACATATCTTAACAAAAATAGTTTGTCAGTACTTTGATTCCAGACTTTCTTTAATTAATAAGACACAACAAATATGTGTAGTCTTCAACCAATATTCGGCATGAAAATTCCAAACTAATATTGGCAAACGCTTTCGATACCCCTCCTGGGCTCTTCTTCAGGCCAAATTTAATGTACTGGATTCTTAAATCGAATATTTTTAAATAAGAACGTGCTCTGTTACTAGAAGTTCAAATAAGAAAGGTAATCACATGCCTTTCGGAATTATAATTTCTTTATAATTTATATTCGTGGAGATATGTTGTGCGCATCTTATAATAATCTCGCATATTTTATAATCACGTGCCGTTTCTAAAAATAATTTTAACTAGTGGATATACGATTGTGCACATCCCATAATAATCTGGTGTATCGTATAATAAATTACGATTCATCCTCTCCAATAAATACTGCCACGCTGTTGAGAGATTCATTTCTTCTTTAAGATTGATGCAGGTTAGTTTGCGATCTGCTTTGTAAATTTCCATCGCTTCCAAAGTTCTTAGATGTTCATGATGATGAGTGGTGCGGATGACCCATGCCTCATTAAAAATCGGGGTTATGTCTTATATCTTAAAGAAGAAATGAATCTCTCAACAGCATGGCAGTATTTATTGGAGGATGAATCATAATTTATTATACAATACACCAGATTATTATGGGATGTGCACATCGTATATCCACTAGTTAAAATTATTTTTAGAAACGGCACATGATTATAAAATATGCGAGATTATTATAAGATGCGCACAACATATCTCCACGAATGTAAATTATAAAGAAATTATAATTCGGAAAGGCACGTGATTACCTTCCTTATTTGAACTTCTAGTAACAAAGCACGTTCTTATTTTAAAATATTCAATTTAAGAATCCAGTACATTAAATTTGGCCTGAAGAAGAGCCCAGGAGGGGCATCGAAAGCATTTGCCAATATTAGTTTAGAATTTTCACGCCGGATATTGGTTGAAGACTACACACATTTGTTGTATATGACCCGGTGTGGGAGAAATCCTTGATTAATAAGACATAAGTGAAACTCATAACCAATCAGAGAAAAATAGTGTTATTTTAACTGTGTAGTGTATTGCAAGAGATGTTTCTCAACTACAATGTATGAAAAAAATCAAGATGTAATCACTGAGCTTTGAATTTGTAATTGACACTGGTCCATAATTTGAGTTGTAGTGGTTTTCAGATAAATGTGGAAAAGATATTGAATTTAGGCTGAAAATGCAGGGGGAGAAGTATATTTCAAGTTTGAGGTTTTCAAGCTAAACATGATTGAGATAGACAGGTTCAACATTGTTAACATTTTTACTTTATATTAAATCTATTAAAAATAATGGAAAATAATGTCTATAGAATGATGATGATAAATTTTTTATTTAGCTGTTTAATCAAGACAATTCAGTAAAAGTATAAAAATGCAGTTTATTAATTAATGCACAAATTTTCTGCATGGGAAAGAGTGAATATTTTGTTTTAATTCAAACCAATGCAAAATTTCATCCATTAAACAGTGTTTGAAGAGTTTCAAAATATGTATATATATATTTTTTTTTAATTTAGACCATGGTTCAGTAAGACAAACTTATCCTGACTGCAAGCACATAATTGTGTATGTAGGCAGCAATAAAATAGCAGCTGAACTTACCAGAAATAAAGTACATAATGTTTCAATTTCACATAGTTTTTAAACAGTTTTCTTCCATTTTGGTGAATTTTTCCATGTAATATCTTTACACTTAGCCAAGATGCTTTTATTGTAATTTTTTGCAGCTATTGCTATATTATTATTTTTTCTACTGCAAATTTTCCCCAAATTTCATTTGCGCAATCATATTCTACACGTGTGGTGATCCATTATAACTATTTTCCATTTCAAAACAAAACCACAAAAAGATAAACAAATTAAAAGTTTTGTTGCTGATACTTTAATTGTCTAAGAATTTATCCATCTTTTATATATTTTATTATTATGTTACAGTATGAAAAATGCTGAATATAACTTTTATTTTTCAGAAGTTCTTCAGCAGAAAGTGCAGATGATTCATTCAAGTGATTCACATTTAACTAAAAGTGTCCAAGATACATTGGTAGAACATGCGCATATACACAGGCATGACGATAGTGCCGAAACACATTCTGTAATTGGTGTGGCACTTGTGTTAGGGTTTGTTTTTATGTTGTTGATTGATCAAATTGGATCGTCACATGGACGTATGCAATCTGGTAAGAGATTTTTATTTTTATATAATTCATGTTTATAATTGAATATATATTATTAATTTTATGTACTTTTCATACAATAAAATTACTTAAAGAATATTATTGTTCATTGTATGTACACTGTACATTTTTTGGTTCTAATACTTTACAGTCAAAATAATAATTTGAATTTTTATTACATCCAGTAAGACTTTTAGATAAATTTTAAAAAAATTGCTGGGATGAGAATATATTTCTTGAGACTATACATACTGGATAAAGTCAATTTTATTCGGTCCCTTCACACGCTGTTGAGGTAATAACAGTTCCACAGCGGATGAACAACATGTGAAGGGACCAGATAAAATTGACTTATCCAGTATGTATAGTCTCAAGAAAAACTTTTAGATAGAGTTGTCGAAAAATTAGCATCCTCTAATTCAATGGTCTCAAAAGTGGGGTACGCCAAGTTTCCCTTCAAAACACTGCATGTGTGTGCTGTTCGCAGTCTGTCTAATCTTAAAACAGTCATCCTCCTGAAGAAGTATTGCTCACAATCACATGCAATCATACATGGAAAAAATTAAAATTGCAGGTAGTAGGAAATTTAGCAGGAATTATAGTGGAAATTTAGCAAATTTTATTATATTATACGGGGTACAATTTATAATTATTTTTGTCCTAGGATGCACGATCAAAAAAGTTTGGAGATTTACAGGGGTGCAATTCAGCCAGCACTCCTCTATGCTGTACAGGTCTAGGGCCACCAAAGTCCATAACTGTAAAAAAATGTTATCTGTTCAAAGGATTGCAGTTCTCTGTATTTGAAAGGCTCATAGGACCGCACCCACTAGTGCCCTTTAGGTAATGTCAGGGTTGACCCCTATTGACTTAGAAATTAAATGCATTATTTGCAGGAAAATCTCATCACTTTACTGTGGCAAAATTATAGCGACTCGGATGTCAACAAATTGATTAGAGTAGGTGAGATTTTCCCCAGTCTGACTTTGATCGATGATATCAAAAATTCAGCATCAACAAAAATACCCTCCCGACTGACGATTATTCCCCTCCCGTCAGCTTGTCCCTGACGTTTACGAAGATTCAGGTTATCATCCCATGTTTGGCATTTACACTGATGGTTCTAAGATGAGTGATGATGTGGGTGCTGCTTTTGTAATTTACTCCTTCTTGGGCCGTGATCTTCAAAACACTTGTTTCTGTTTAGGTAGGTACTGCTCACTAGCACAGGCAGAAACTTTAGCTATTTATATGAGCTTAATTCACATTAGGCGTAGGAAGAACAAAAGACACTACTTACACTATCACATTTATTCTGACAGTAGAGTAGCTTTACAGAGGATTGCAAAGTCTGATAGCCACTTAAAACTTGTCCATCTCATACATCACATTCTCAGACACTTAGTGGTCTTTGTACCTTGAACGCTGTGAGTTCGGTCGTGGGTTTGCACCTCACTTGGACAGGCTGGCCACGTGGAGTTTTCCAGGTTTTCTCCACATCTGTAACTCCTAAGTTTCTCTTAAAAAGACCTCCCAGACGGCATCCCCCTAGGCAGATTGCCCAAGTGTTGTGTTGCCATAACTTAACAAACTCAGACACTTAGACAACAACATTAGAATAGCTTTCCAATGGGTCCCGGGTCATGTGGGATTTTTGGCAACAAGACCGCTGACTGTCTTGCCAAATAAGCTGCAAAGTCTTCAGTAACTAGTACTTTCAGTTACATTCCTACCTCTTACATCAACAATCATGTCGAGAAGCAAATCTTCATTCTCTGGCAAGACAGCTGGGACGATGACACCACTGGTAGGCTCACCTACACTTTCATCCCCAAGGCTGACACTACTGCAATTCTTTGCCACTTTTACTCTAGTTTACCCTCACTAAGCTACAGGACACAGTAACTAAAGCAATACTTGCATAGATTTAACCTTGGGGACAATCCACAATGCGACTGTGGTATTCAGGAGGACCAAACACCACTTCACTTAGTTTTTTGCTGCAATAGGTACAGTCACATTAGGGATAGTTTAATGAGAGCTTCTATTCTTGAAGGGTACAACTGGCCTTGCAACCTGCACCAACTCATTCACACATGTACTGTACAATGTTCCATCATTTATTCGCATTCATATGTCTCTTAGTGGGGCTCTAGAGAGCTGTATCCAGGGGCACAGATAGCAATTAGCTTTCCCTTGTTCTTATTTTCCATCTTTTTTTTCAGTCTAAATTCAGTTAGTTTAACTAAATCCTAGTTGTAAGGTAGATTAGGGACTCTTAGCTTGGTTTCCGGTTAGGTTAAATTAGATTAGGGTTTGTTAGTTTTAGTTGTCTTGTTAGGTTCATCCTAGGTTATGGTATGTTAGTTTAGTTAGTGAGTAAGTTAATGTTTAAAAAGTAATAATAATAAATACATAAATAAAAATATTTGGGGGGTCTTGCTTATTTGTCTCTGTCGATTCATTTGTTGTGTCTAGTTTGTCATTGTGTTCATTTGCTTTTCGCGCTGTCTGTCTAGCTGTTAAGTAGTATTAAGATTCGCGATCACATTCAGCTTGTTAGTACAGTGGTACCTCAGTTGCTGGGATGAGAATATATTTCTTGAGACTATACATACTGGATAAAGTCAATTTTATTCAGTCCCTTCACACGCTGTTGAGGTAATAACAGTTCCACAGCGGATGAACAACAAGTGAAGGGACCAGATAAAATTGACTTATCCAGTATGTATAGTCTCAAGAAAAACTTTTAGATAGAGTTGTCGAAAAATTAGCATCCTCTAATTCAATGGTCTCAAAAGTGGGGTACGCCAAGTTTCCCTTCAAAACACTGCATGTGTGTGCTGTTCGCAGTCTGTCTAATCTTAAAACAGTCATCCTCCTGAAGAAGTATTGCTCACAATCACATGCAATCATACATGGAAAAAATTAAAATTGCAGGTAGTAGGAAATTTAGCAGGAATTATAGTGGAAATTTAGCAAATTTTATTATATTATACGGGGTACAATTTATAATTATTTTTGTCCTAGGATGCACGATCAAAAAAGTTTGGAGATTTACAGGGGTGCAATTCAGCCAGCACTCCTCTATGCTGTACAGGTCTAGGGCCACCAAAGTCCATAACTGTAAAAAAATGTTATCTGTTCAAAGGATTGCAGTTCTCTGTATTTGAAAGGCTCATAGGACCGCACCCACTAGTGCCCTTTAGGTAATGTCAGGGTTGACCCCTATTGACTTAGAAATTAAATGCATTATTTGCAGGAAAATCTCATCACTTTACTGTGGCAAAATTATAGCGACTCGGATGTCAACAAATTGATTAGAGTAGGTGAGATTTTCCCCAGTCTGACTTTGATCGATGATATCAAAAATTCAGCATCAACAAAAATACCCTCCCGACTGACGATTATTCCCCTCCCGTCAGCTTGTCCCTGACGTTTACGAAGATTCAGGTTATCATCCCATGTTTGGCATTTACACTGATGGTTCTAAGATGAGTGATGATGTAGGTGTTGCTTTTGTAATTTACTCCTTCTTGGGCCGTGATCTTCAAAACACTTGTTTCTGTTTAGGTAGGTACTGCTCACTAGCACAGGCAGAAACTTTAGCTATTTATATGAGCTTAATTCACATTAGGCGTAGGAAGAACAAAAGACACTACTTACACTATCACATTTATTCTGACAGTAGAGTAGCTTTACAGAGGATTGCAAAGTCTGATAGCCACTTAAAACTTGTCCATCTCATACATCACATTCTCAGACACTTAGTGGTCTTTGTACCTTGAACGCTGTGAGTTCGGTCGTGGGTTTGCACCTCACTTGGACAGGCTGGCCACGTGGAGTTTTCCAGGTTTTCTCCACATCTGTAATGCCTAAGTTNTCCACGATACGAACAAAAACTCACCATACGACGTTACATTAGTTCGCATTTTTCATTTGTTTTTCTTACTACAGTTATTTTTTTAAATGTATTACTTGGCTTTAATTTGAGTATGTTTTTCGCGTTGGAACGAATTATTTGGTTTTACATGTAATCGTATGGGAAAAGATTATCCACCTTACGACATTTTCATGATACGATCTCAGTTTCGGAACGGATTAATTTCGTATCCTGAGGTACCACTGTATTAAGTAGATATAAGTCTTCCTACCAACAGCCACTTGGCAGTAACTTCTACACTTAGCTATTCATGGTGGCACTCAGTTATTGGTGTTATCTACACTGAGGTTTTCTTTTAGACCCTTTGGGGGACTACGGCCTTGCAGCCTAAAAATTGCAAAATAACATCAAACATACAGGGTACTGTAGCCATATGTATGCCGTTCAGAGGGATCCTACCTTTCTCTACTGTCTATCTTCTCTCCCTCCTTATTCTTCTCCCTCCTCCTTTCACTTGTCCTCTTTTCTGCCGGCTAAACACTTTGTGTACAGCCAATGTCTTTCTTGTATGTATGTATGCATGCTCTAATTAATAATAATTTGTAATTTTTGCATCCAGTTAAGTTTTGCTGATTATTGATTGCATTGAAAAACATTATAACCATTTATTTTATTAAAAAAGAATCACGTTATATTAGATTAATTTATAATATGTGGCTATTTTTCATTATATGTAATTTTTAATGAAAACAGAATAAAAGAACAAATTCCTTTTAACTCTAGTCTTTGATCTTTTATTGTTGTCAAATCTTTTGTTATATTAATCTTGATATTTTTCTGTTGCCCAGATTCTTTTCCCTATACATATATATTTGAACCTCAGTCCAGTGCCATCATTTGTTTATCTGAGAAATTAGCACTAAATCAAAATGGTGTTAAATAGAACTTTAAAGAATAAGAATTATAAATAGTAATGTATTTCTATATGTTATTTTGACAGTTTTATAATTTGATGATAACAGTCAAAAGCCATAATGACAGAAACAATTTGCTTTATTCATTTAAGTTTATTTGGCATTTCTAGTAAGAAACAGTTAAATATTTGATAGCAAGATATTCAAAAATAAAAAGCTAAAAAACTTGGTTTACTTGACAGCTGACTTCAAAGTTGTAAACTTAAGTATGGAGTATTTTAACTTAATTAACTTTATATATATTTATATATATATATTCATATTTTATCATCAAACTGTAATATAAGTACAGAAATTTTATTAAACAAAATTTTTAATATTTTTAGATGTTGAAAATGGCATGAAACAAGATAAATACAAAATTACTGCAACTCTGGGATTAGTTGTTCACGCAGCAGGTAAATTAATGTCAGTCGATAAACACACTTTTAATTTAGATAAATACTTTTATCATATTAATTTCTGATTCATAATAATCATTTATCATCTATAATTTAGTGTTAACTTTGATAAAAATCTTAATGAATTGATTCTTAGTACATTGCTTAAAGCAATGAAACTTTATAGAAGTTTTCAAAAATTTCTAATTTAGATGGAGATTAAATAATTAAATATTTAATTTTGTTCTAGCTGATGGAGTAGCATTAGGAGCTGCAGCAACTACATCTCATGCTGACATTGAAATTATTGTTTTTACTGCAATTATGCTTCATAAGGTAATGAAATCAAAGAAATAGATTTAGTTTCTTCTTTTAAGTTGTATATTAATTAAAATATCAATCAGTTAAAGAATTTTATGTGATCACATCACATTGTTAAATATTTAATGGTGCCAAAATATATTTTTATGCAACAAATTTAATAGTTATTATTTTTGAAGATATTAAATGCGTCAAAATAATTGAAGGATTTATCATTTTTAAATCAGTTATTAGATGATTTATCAAGGTTTAGTTTTAATACTTCAGTGTTTATGTTATAAAAGCAAGATGTGTTAAGGAATATTATATCAGATTTGTTTTTATAGATATTGTCAATTCAACTTTACTGTCCTCTGATACATTTAGGGTGTATATTAGAGAATTGAATTAACACTAAATAAGTGAAGTTAGAAAAATAATATTTCCATTCATTGCATTATTTCTTTAGTGATTGGAAAATTCTACACATCTTACTAGAATTAATTTGTCAAGAAACCACAATATATTATTATAACAAACTGCTGTTAGAATGATTAATAGAAGTTTTGTTTTATAAATATTTCCCTACCGTTAGTTTTACATACAAAAAAAAATTATCAGTTCTATTGAAATTTCAAGCAGATATTGCAATACTATTATTTTATCAGTACAGTGAATGATTGATTAACGAACATCATCCATTCAAAAGCAATGTTTACTACTTGAATTGTTCATTAATTAACCGATTATCAATTTACCATAGATTTTTATGGGAATTTGATTAATTTGTTCTGGAGATCCAAAAAATAAATTAAAAAAATTATATAATTCATTATGTACATAAATAGATGTAATAAGAAATTATAATTTTCTACTATGTCTATTTACATGTAATAATAAACTAAAAACAATCCATTTTTTCATGGGTGGCACATCTTTGTTTTTCATTACTCCTTTTTCTGCTTTAGTCTTGAGTCTAAGATTGTAGCTACTGTAAATCTGTTGAAGCCATACTGTCTAGCAACATCAGACATCTTCTGCCCACTCTCTACTTTGGTTATCTCTTTAGTTTCTATGGTGAACACAGTTCTTGACACTTTACTCTGTTAAGGCCCCATAATGTTATCAGTTTTTTTTTTTTTTTTTTTTTAATTAAAAGTTCACAAAGCACTTACAAAAATTCAGAGAACAGAAATCAACTAGTGCAAAACAAAGTTATGTATACAACTGTGGAAGTCTCATTCCATAAACCATTCATAGATGCACTAAAATATAGTTTTACAAATCTTAAATTCAGCATCACTTTTTATTTGTTCTGTGAGGTGTTCATTATTCAAACATGTGTTTGTTGTGTGAACATAAAAATCTTTTGCAAAAGTGTTCATTGTCCAAACTGTTTGTAAACTGATTACCCACTATATATAAATCTTGTTTATTGAATTTATTGCAAATTTTAAGTCAGTTGCATCAATTAATATTTATAAGAATCTGATTCTGAAAATTTCTAGAATTTTTTTAATTCTCAAGAATTACATAATTATGTGAGCTAAATAACCTTAACTGTTTCTTGCAACTATTTGTGAAATAACCTGTTTTTGCAGGCTATTTAGCAATAATTGTAAGAAGTAGAAAGTAGTAGTAGTAATACAAAGAACAATTCTTTTAGGAATTATTGCTATTAATAAAGCTGGTTTAGAAAAGATTATATATATATATATTTATATTATGAAATATGATATTTTTTTAGTTAATTTTTAGATTAATTAATATTAATGTCTAAGCATATTTACTGTAAATACAAAATAAATGTATTTGAATTGTTATAGTAAAATTTGAAGTTTATTTCATAAATTAGACTGTTTTTGAATTTCAAATATCTCATTATTTTGTTCAGAAGTTCAAAAATAGTTAGTAATTTTAAGAGAAATTGCTTTAAAATGTATTCAGGAATATATATTACAGAAAATATTTTTTCTCTGAATAATTATTTATACTCGGACACTAAAAGTAAAGTTAGTTTATTTATGCTTGCATTTCAATTACAGTCGACCCCCCCTATAACACTGTTGATTATTCCGTTTTATATGAATTCCATGTTGTACGAGTCACTTAGATTTTACAAATACGTATGCCAGGCTGTGAATGGCTCACGTATTTGTAAAATCTAAGTGACTCGTACAACATGGAATTCGTATAAAACAGAATAATCAACAGTGTTATAGGTGGGTCGACTGTAACTATATTAATATTGTCATGCATTAAATTATACTGTATAATTGTAAAATTTAAAATATACAGAAGTTGCACTTTTGATATCTTGTTTTATAATTAATTACTTAATGTCATTATTTTTAACAAAAAAAAAATTTATACATAATATTTTTATTGTAGGCACCAGCAGCATTTGGATTGGTTACATTTTTGATGCACGAAGGTTTAGATAGAACAAGAATACGAAAACATTTAATCATATTTGCACTAGCAGCACCTGTTTTAGCAATTGTAACATATTTTGGTATTAGTCAGGTATGTAGAAGTATTATTTGTTTAGTAAATTTTTATATTAGCAACTGATTTTAAATGTTTTAACAAAGATAGTATGTATAAAAACAGCTAAATCACTTTAATAAAAGTAATATATTCATTACTAATTACACAAATGATTTTCATCTACATTTTTCAACAATTTGATTTTGATATGGATTATTTATTATATTGAATACATAAGTTAAATATAATTGTTTTCGAACAATAATCAATTTTCATTTTAGTCATTTGCATATGCACACACACTTAGACATTTTTACATTAGTAAAACAGTAAAACATTAGGATATATTTATAATGAATCACAGCAAAACTTTGCAACAAATTTGGTTCTTTTCTAATATTACTATCTATTTTACTAGATGTCAATACTAAATAAATAATCTTATATTACATTCTCACTTTTACACAATTGATTTCTTTGCTCTAGTATTATAAATAAAATTAAACAAAGTATAATTTGCTGTTTGAAATTCTACATTATAAAAATGAATGACAAATGTTAGATAGCAAATTTAGAAACAAGTTCTACAGTCCAATGGTGAATTTTCCGATAGTTTCCAGTGACGCATTCCATGTGTCACTGGAAACTATCAGAAAATTCACTAACTTAAACAAGGAAGTAAGTCCATGGGAAAAGATCTAATCATATCCTTTGATTTTTTTTTTTTTTTTTTCTTTTTATGAAAAATGTTTTGAATAAAATTTTTTGTTAAGTCCTGGCTCATACAAAATTGTCTTGTAAATTATATTTTTTTTTTGTTACAAGAGAACTTAAGAAACTTAAGCTTTTACTATCCAGCATAAATTTACATCAAATTCAACATCTTTGACTAATTAATTAATTAGCCAAAAACATTTCTTCTGGTTTAAGCTTAGTAAAATTACTGTCTTTTATTAACTTACAGTAAATAAGTGAATCTATCAAATATTGAATAATGTAATATGTACTTAAAATTACAATTTGATACGTTTAATACATGTAGTTTATGCAATTATAAAATAAAACTTAATATAAACTTAAAATCATATATTGTTCTTTAATTTTGCTGTGTCAAAATCTCATTTAATGTCTCTGGTAAAATGCATAGTATTTAGTTAATTGTAAAGAATTTAACTTGATTTTATTGCTGAATTTGTTATAAATAACATTTGCATTAGATTGTTATAAGGATTTTTCGGAAAACTTGCACAAAGAAATGTATATCATTGTGCAGCTTACATACAAAAAAAAATTATTAATTTGCATTTCAGACGTTTAATTTTTTAGTCATAATGAAAGTTCAGTTCAACAAATTTTAAAATCACACAAAAATTTTTGTCATATGGTAAATATTAAACTAGCCAAAAACTTGTTATAAAATGCTTCACATGTTTTGATGATTATATTTTCTCTTCTCAATATTGCTACCAATTTGACTATTAATGAGGACTTATCACATCACAGTCAAAATGTTACCAGATTAGAACTATTTTATTCTTTTAATTAACTTCATAGTGTATAATTCAGACATTTTGGAAACCATCAAATTGTCTTTTGACCTCTCTTCAGTTGGAACATTCAATTTTTGTAATTTATTTTAGAAATTTTTATAATGTTGCCTATGTTTAAACTTTAGAGAAGTACAATTTTATCAAATTACTACAGTTAAATCATGTAAAACATCTTATTTTTGCCAAGGAAATGGCTTTTAATCACAAACATTTTCAGTTTGTTCTACAAATCATCTTCAAGCATTGAATTAAATTCTACAGGGTGGGGCAGGAAGGAAGGATATTTTTTCACAATCACAAAATCTTAACATCTGCAATTGTTACTACAAAAGATATTTGTTGAAAGATGTCAGTTCATATTGAAATAGCATTTTACAGAATCAAGTGTGGAAAACATCTTTCATGTGGTATCTGTTATCAGTGATTCATTTCTGGAAATGATTTCGGTGATTTTCATGCAAATAGCTTCCTTTGATTCTTGCAAAGAACAGGTTTATGCTCATATACACGTGTTTTCAGGTGTCCCCACAAGAAATAATTACACGTGGATAGGTTGGATGAGGAAGCCAATGAGTGTCGCCGAACCTGGAAATGAGGCAACCAGAAAAGAGACAACGAATAGCATCAATTGATGCTCTAGCTATGTAAGCCATTGCCCNATGTTTGCTTAGCATTTAGTGAATGCCAAATGTACGGAACCACCTTAATAAAAGTTAAACAAACTCATAAGTTAGTACTGAAACACCAAGAAAAGACTAATTTGAACTCAGCATATTGTCCTTAACAAATTTTAAACATGGTTTTATAAAAAGAATTGGTTTATTGATTAAATTTTTCATGAAATATGAATACACATGGAACACAAAAGTCAGTTATTTGTGGTAAAGACTAAATTGCAATTCACTAATTACATTAACTAAAGTTTACAATTAATTTAATAGTATTTTTATCATGTATTTATCAAATTTATAAAAGATGATAGATAAATATCTTGTGACTACTAAATTCAGTTCTTAATTCATAAATGTACAGTACCTAGAACACAAAACAAAGTACTGTTGACTAAAATCTGAGTTATTCTACATAATAAAATGTTAACTTAAAACATGATAATTAAAATATTCTTCATACATTTTATTTTTCAAATTTCAAGTGTTTTTTTAACGTTTCTGATAAAATAATCAATGACAACAAATTTAATTTATTTATTGCTAGAATTTGAATAAATTAATTCACAAAACATTATTAAAATCTAATTTAACAATGAATTAATTTTATTTCAATTTAATTTGAATTACATTGAGTTCTTTTATTTTGAAAAATAGTTGATAAAAAAAGAGGTTTCTTTTTAACAAAATTAAAATAAACGTGACATTATAAAATAAAATAAAAAATATTTTCATAATTATATTTAGATTTATTGAATTTTTATCTCATTCAAAATGCTGTACAAAAACATTAAATAAGTGTGAAATAATGGAATTATTTTCTTTTGAATGTAAGACAGATATATTAGTCAGTAATGTCATTTAAATGTAATTGTTTTGTATATTAAACTGTATTATCGTTTCATCAATTATTATTATTATTTGATTTTAGTTTTGTGTGGTGTTTCCATTGTTTTATTCTTTTCTTCGTATTTGAATTTGTTGTATTTGAAATTTTGTTAGAACTTCATATTCTAACAACAGAATGTAATTCAATGCTTGAAGATGGTTTGTAGTACAAGCAAATGTTTGCAATTAAAAACAGTTTCCTTAGAAAAAATAAGGTGTTGTTTGGGATTTACGTTAGGCTGAGACTCCACTAGCATAAAAATGAGTGTAAAACCCCTTGCCGTAAAAGTTTTTAATCACGTGATCCTGATATTTTACATCTGAGCAGATCGTAAAACCATTGTAAAAGCGAATTGAGCAGTGCTCAACTTTTGATGCAAATATGGCCATAAAACAGTACCATCCACCAATCAGAAGTCAGTGAAATCNGAATCGTTTGTTTACGAGGAGAAAGGAATTTGAGGTCGTTGAAATTTCAGGTCATATATATGATTTTCCTTTCTAGTATGTAATATATTATAAAAAAAGGACTAAATTGACAATTTCCATCGAAAATTTCCGCATCTGGCTTTTGTCACTTAACCTTTTCGACTATACTTTTGCGGTCAATGACCAAATCTTCCTCGAGAATGGATATTGAAACCCTTCAACGATACGTAACCATCGACATGTCTTAAAAATAAACAATAATAATATAAATTTTAATTACTAGTTCCAAACAAGCAGCTATCTTTTGTATTCATTTAACTTTTTAAAAAACAAAAACTGACTACTTAAAACTTTAAAAAGAGAACAATAGAAACTGATCCTTAAATTGCATTATATTAATTGTCTAATCAGAAGTTCTACTGAACTCTTTTACAGAGATGGTAATTATATTTTATCATTTTTATTCCTTCATTTTCATTTACATAAGTATTTTTCCAAAGCTTTAAATTTATTTATTTGTTTTTTTTCAACTGTATTATTATTATTATATTTATGAACTGATTTTTCATAGCCTCTGTATATTCAGGAACTAAATGTAAATTACAGTCACTAAATAATTTTTGAAATTTGTAAAAAAGTTAATTTATCATAATAAATAAATTTTCATACATAGAAAATTTTATTTTTATTATTTGCATTTAAAATGTTATTCATCCATTTATTATTTTTTTTAATAGGTTTTTTTCTATAGTTTTGTTTAATTTCTTTTCCCTACATACACCTTAAAAATAGTTTTATTAGTAATTAAGTAATTATACACTTTTAAACATCGTTTTATTTTTTATTGATGTTTTCATATTCAGCATTTTTAATTATATTTTCTATATTTTCTACTTTATCATTTTCTATTGTAACTAATTTTTATCAGCTCTTAAAACTTTTAATTTGTTTTTATTTAAGAATCATCATAGCTTTTTTTTCAATATACTTTATTTTCATATTTTTTACTTTGACTACAGTTTTTAATACTTTACTTAATTTACCTCTCTACTTTTTGATTGTCATTTATAATACTTTCTATTTGTATAATAATTCTTCTGTATTTATTGAACATAGACCATTAAATTGTACATGGAAATGTATATTTTGGAGTTAATTAAAAGAATAAAGAAATTTTAATCTGGTCACTCTTTTTTTGGTTTCATAAGTTCTCATTAATAGCTATATTGAAAGTAGTCAAAAACTTCTGCTATAATCTGTTTAAAATTTGGTAAAATATTTATTAACCTACAGCAGATTTTTTTTTCTTACAAGTTATTGCACTGCATAAATGTTTACTCCTTTTTCTGTAGCTCAACTTACGTGCAAACTGTAAAATTGGCTCCATACATTCAGTATTTGCTGTTTGCTAAATAAGTACCTATTCATTCCCTTTCATTCAGCTCAATATACTGACAGAATGGGAAACGGTAAATACTGAATATTATTCTTGAGTAAATCATCCATGCTACTACTCTGTATTGGTTAAATGTTTGCTTAGCATTTAGTGAATGCCAAATGTACGGAACCACCTTAATAAAAGTTAAACAAACTCATAAGTTAGTACNCCTAAAAACTTCACTAGCCAGACCTCCTCCACAATCCAGACACATATGCAAATAGGTCACGGGATTAAAAGTTTTTATGGCGAAGGTTTTTACACTAGTGGAGTCTCGGCCTTACTGCTGACAGTGTGTTTTCGAAGATACTACAGTTAAATAAATTACAATATTATATACATTTATAAGACTATAAATAATATAAATTTTAATTACTAGTTCCAAACAAGCAGCTATCTTTTGTATTCATTTAACTTTTTAAAAAACAAAAACTGACTACTTAAAACTTTAAAAAGAGAACAATAGAAACTGATCCTTAAATTGCATTATATTAATTGTCTAATCAGAAGTTCTACTGAACTCTTTTACAGAGATGGTAATTATATTTTATCATTTTTATTCCTTCATTTTCATTTACATAAGTATTTTTCCAAAGCTTTAAATTTATTTATTTGTTTTTTTTCAACTGTATTATTATTATTATATTTATGAACTGATTTTTCATAGCCTCTGTATATTCAGGAACTAAATGTAAATTACAGTCACTAAATAATTTTTGAAATTTGTAAAAAAGTTAATTTATCATAATAAATAAATTTTCATACATAGAAAATTTTATTTTTATTATTTGCATTTAAAATGTTATTCATCCATTTATTATTTTTTTTAATAGGTTTTTTTCTATAGTTTTGTTTAATTTCTTTTCCCTACATACACCTTAAAAATAGTTTTATTAGTAATTAAGTAATTATACACTTTTAAACATCGTTTTATTTTTTATTGATGTTTTCATATTCAGCATTTTTAATTATATTTTCTATATTTTCTACTTTATCATTTTCTATTGTAACTAATTTTTATCAGCTCTTAAAACTTTTAATTTGTTTTTATTTAAGAATCATCATAGCTTTTTTTTCAATATACTTTATTTTCATATTTTTTACTTTGACTACAGTTTTTAATACTTTACTTAATTTACCTCTCTACTTTTTGATTGTCATTTATAATACTTTCTATTTGTATAATAATTCTTCTGTATTTATTGAACATAGACCATTAAATTGTACATGGAAATGTATATTTTGGAGTTAATTAAAAGAATAAAGAAATTTTAATCTGGTCACTCTTTTTTTGGTTTCATAAGTTCTCATTAATAGCTATATTGAAAGTAGTCAAAAACTTCTGCTATAATCTGTTTAAAATTTGGTAAAATATTTATTAACCTACAGCAGATTTTTTTTTCTTACAAGTTATTGCACTGCATAAATGTTTACTCCTTTTTCTGTAGCTCAACTTACGTGCAAACTGTAAAATTGGCTCCATACATTCAGTATTTGCTGTTTGCTAAATAAGTACCTATTCATTCCCTTTCATTCAGCTCAATATACTGACAGAATGGGAAACGGTAAATACTGAATATTATTCTTGAGTAAATCATCCATGCTACTACTCTGTATTGGTTAAATGTTTGCTTAGCATTTAGTGAATGCCAAATGTACGGAACCACCTTAATAAAAGTTAAACAAACTCATAAGTTAGTACTGAAACACCAAGAAAAGACTAATTTGAACTCAGCATATTGTCCTTAACAAATTTTAAACATGGTTTTATAAAAAGAATTGGTTTATTGATTAAATTTTTCATGAAATATGAATACACATGGAACACAAAAGTCAGTTATTTGTGGTAAAGACTAAATTGCAATTCACTAATTACATTAACTAAAGTTTACAATTAATTTAATAGTATTTTTATCATGTATTTATCAAATTTATAAAAGATGATAGATAAATATCTTGTGACTACTAAATTCAGTTCTTAATTCATAAATGTACAGTACCTAGAACACAAAACAAAGTACTGTTGACTAAAATCTGAGTTATTCTACATAATAAAATGTTAACTTAAAACATGATAATTAAAATATTCTTCATACATTTTATTTTTCAAATTTCAAGTGTTTTTTTAACGTTTCTGATAAAATAATCAATGACAACAAATTTAATTTATTTATTGCTAGAATTTGAATAAATTAATTCACAAAACATTATTAAAATCTAATTTAACAATGAATTAATTTTATTTCAATTTAATTTGAATTACATTGAGTTCTTTTATTTTGAAAAATAGTTGATAAAAAAAGAGGTTTCTTTTTAACAAAATTAAAATAAACGTGACATTATAAAATAAAATAAAAAATATTTTCATAATTATATTTAGATTTATTGAATTTTTATCTCATTCAAAATGCTGTACAAAAACATTAAATAAGTGTGAAATAATGGAATTATTTTCTTTTGAATGTAAGACAGATATATTAGTCAGTAATGTTATTTAAATGTAATTGTTTTGTATATTAAACTGTATTATCATAATTCTGATCTAAATGTGTCAGATACAGTATGTAATTTAATATTGGCATATTTTTTCAAGCTGTAATAAGATTATAAATTGATTTATTTACAGAATATGTACTGGAATTAGGCAGTGTTGTTTTTTCATCTAGTCTAATTTTCTAATTAAATTAATTTATAGCTTTACATAGTTTAAAAAAATATACACAGTGGTACCTCAGGTTACGAACGCCCCAGCATACGAAATTTTCAGGATACGACATGAAATTCGAACATATTTTTGCTCCACGATACGAACAAAAACTCACCATACGACGTTACATTAGTTCGCATTTTTCATTTGTTTTTCTTACTACAGTTATTTTTTTAAATGTATTACTCGGCTTTAATTTGAGTATGTTTTTCGCGTTGGAACGAATTATTTAGTTTTACATGTAATCGTATGGGAAAAGATGATCCACCTTACGACATTTTCATGATACGATCTCAGTTTCGGAACGGATTAATTTCGTATCCTGAGGTACCACTGTACCAATATTTTGGATTTTAATTACATCATTCAAAACTTGTCATTCTTTTAACTATCAGGGCTATCATGTCAAATCTATGATTTTATTTTGTATCTCCTGCTAAGTTTAACAGACATAGACTCTGTCAAAATTGTACTAACTGATGGTCCAAGTCTAGTTTCTGTCTATTAATCTTCTTCAATAGAAAGCTCTTTCACATAAATATTTTAGCATACCTTCCTAAACATTGATGTACTAACTCACAGAATCTTATGGGTTGAACAAATAGCTGCCAATGCCTTAGGAGAAAAATATACTTATGACACATTAACATAAATTTTTAATGTAATATATATATTCCTTAGTATTAAGAACTCAACTTAGAAATACAATAGTTGTTTAAAAGTTTAATACAGTAAGCAGTATTTTATTAAAATGTTAGCATTGCATGAGTAAAAAATAATTAAGGAAAACATAACCAAACTTAATATGGTCTTAATTTTAATCTTAAGTCAACTTGAATCAGCAGCATTATTTTCATGAAGCTTCCAAATCCAAAGGCCCTAAACTCTAAAATTATCACTAAGAATTTGTGGACTGTGATACCCTTGTTATTACACAATGTTTGCATTATTAAACTTAAATTATCACAAAGTATCAAGGAAAGGAAATTAAGTAAATGTTCACATTTCATGGTAGCATATATTTTCCTCAAGGTTCTAAAGAGTAACTATGAAAAACTTTGTCAGGATTAGCAAAAGAGGAGTTTAGAAGTATGTAGAGAACATATTTAGACAGATATTCCATTTTATATATAGTATAATATGTAGATTAGTGTATTTTCTGGTATCAAATACACTAATCTACATATTATACTATATATGTAGATTAGTGTATTTAATACCAGAAAATATTAATGTTAATCAAAATAACAAACATAATTTTACATTATATATTAGCATATAATTAAATTTTACAGTATCATCATCATCATCATCATCAAAATATCAGAAATTGACAAACATCTACATTTATCTCACAAATTATCATCAACATAGTATTTTCCATACATTTACAAATAGTACTTTAAAAGAATCAATTTTTAAAATGTGCAGTTTAAAGTTAATTATGATTAAGATATTTTGCAATAATTTTGTTTCTAAAATGAATACATTTCAATTTTCATTCGCTGCTTCTTACGCCAACTCTAACTTACCTGATTCAGCAGTTTTATATTGAAAATGCAAGTAATGAAGAAAATTATATAGATTTTTATCAGACAATGAAAATGTACATAAACTAGAGGAAAAGAAATTCTCTTATTATAATTTTAAATTGCCACAATTTAAATGCATCTGAGTCATCATTTTCAAATGCAATAGACCAACAAAAGGAAATATATTTCTTTTGAATTTCATTCCAAAATTTATTTATAGACTACAATGTTTTTATGCTAATTATTTTTAGAACTTATCTTAGTTTTTGAAACAAACAAGAGGAAAAAATAGCCTAAAATTTAACTTTTTACCGTAAAGTAAAGAAATCTTAATATTTAATCTTTGTTTTTTTTTTTTTTCTTTCTTTTCTAGTCAGCCAAAGAAGCTTTGTCGTCATACAATGCAACCGGAATAGCCATGTTGTTCAGTGCAGGAACCTTCTTATACGTGGCCACGGTTCACGTGCTGCCTGAGATTTCCAGCCGAAGCCACTCTCATTCCATAAATGGCGACATCTCGTCCGATATCAAAGGATTCAGGAAGATGGAACTGTTGGCGCTGGTAGTCGGCGCATTCTTACCAATGCTGTTGTCGGTACATCATCATCACTGATTCTTTGTCGTTTAAACGAAAAGAAAAAATAATAGCATGTCTGTGGTCATTGCCGTTTTACGTGAATTATGTTTTTAATTACAGATAAGGTTAGTCATTTATTTTTAAATTTAAACTATCGGACGAAAATATGCCGACAATCATTCCATACCTAGTACGACAAAGAAACATAATGACGGTTAACAGTGCTTTTCTTGGTATTGTATTATTCGATAAGTTGAAAATTTTAATTATAATCTTCGCTTAAACTTATTTATTTTCTGAGTAATTTTTATGTCATTACACATTTACCCCATAACATTCTGTATCATAATTTACAATGGGATTTTAGGTGTTTTTTTCAAAATTAAGCTTCCTAAGGGACAAAAATATTATTTAAATTTCTTAAGGAGCATGCAAACTTCCATAAACAAAATCAAATACGAAATTATCAATCACTCCTAAAGAAATTAATGGGAAAATTCTCTTAAGTTCCTCAAAATAAAATCAAATTTATATTTAGGCATTTTGTAAATTCTTCCGTTCGAGCAATCAAACTTTGAAAATTCTTCCGAAATCAAGACAATTAAGTTTCTCTCAAGCCAAAATTATATTTTGCGTAATTAGAAACTGTTAATAATGCAATTATGTTCTCGTATCAAGTTAAAATTAGAAATTGTGAAGGGATTTCATTTATAAGAGATAAAAATTATTTATTTATTTTTTATCCAGTGAAAAAATTGGTAATATTATAGGCATACTCTCGGCTTCGTAGAAGATTTTTATTTACTGAATTATCGACTATTTATGTTTCGTCGAATTGTATTTATCTTAAGATTTCTGCATTTCTTGCACAAAAGATTATATTTGTATATACAACTAAATGTCAATAAAATGAGCAATGAATTTTTGTTAAAATGTGTATATTTGTACTTAAACTATTGCATTCCTTGACGACGAAGGTCTTGAACGACATAATCTGCTAATTCCTTTGTACAGAATAGTCACAAAGTAGCTTCAGTAAGACACTTACCAGAATACACAATGGAAATGTTTGGGTTATAACCATATGCAGTTCACTTTGGGGCATTGCGAAACAATATTCTCACCTCCTACAACAGTCAAAGATATAAAAATCAGTTGTCAAACTGCTTCGTGACTTCCAACTGTCATTTTCCGTAGAACTTTAGGTAAATTAAAAATAGGGAATACCTTATACAGTATCAGTAGCATAACCTAGTGTTGTTAGAGGATGCCAAGAATAGATTTATGCTTCCTTTATTCCTCCCTAAGTACATTTTTTTTTGCAATATTTACATAAATTTCTTCATTGCCATTGTAAAGATAAGATTTAGGACTCTAGCTCCTTTGAAACTATCCACAGAAAATGGTCAGGCCAGAGAACAGGTCCATGAAAATGTGAGGAGGATTTGGACTTTTTCATGGACCTGTTTCCTCTATCTATTGATGCTAGAGATTGTTTTCAATCCGTTAATTACATGGTAATTTTAAGGGGGTGACGAAATGTTTATAATTATGTACAGTACAATGGGGGTCACTACCAAAAATTAAATTTAATGTAATGCGATAATATTTAAGCTTTTACTTAAAAAATTCGAAACACCAGACTACTAGTACGCATGTGTCGCCATCTGTCGTTACGATTTTAAGTTACATATAAAATAATTGATATTTCGAGCAATAATAATAATATTAAATGCAGAATATAATTTATTAACTTATTATTTTTTTTCACTAGGAATATTAAAGTTCATTTTAAATTATTTATTAATTTTAAGAAAAATGAAATAATAACTTTGCTTAAGAAATTAAAAATCGGCACTATTTTAACATTTTAAATAATAAAAATTAATAACGGATAACTCTCTTGTAACCTCGAACACGATTGGTAGTTTTAAAATTCGAAATTTTTTTCCTTCGTCACTTCCTGTTTAGCAAAACCGAAACTAGATGAGCAGGGCGCATGCGCCGGGTACAGAGTCCGTCGTCTGCTGCACTCGCCACTCGGTAGTGTGCTGTGATGGGAGATGGAGGACGAACTGCGCTGTCCCGAATGTAAGCACTTCTACAACAACCCCGTTCTGTTACCCTGCTACCATTCTCTGTGTTTGAATTGCGCCCTTCACATACAGCAACCGGCTCAAAATGTTCAACAGCCATCGGAAGAGTCGAACATCAACGAAATCGCCGATTATCCGGACGTGGACAAACTTAGCCTCCTGAGCGAAACCGACAGCGGGGTGGTGTGCAGCAGTAGGCCAAACAGCTACGTGGGCACCCCCAACATTCAAGGCATACTCTTTCCGCCCTTTCAGAGTAGCGCCCTGTCTCTGACGTGCCCTCTGTGCCGTAAGGTAGTATATTTCGACGAGAATGGTGCCCACAATCTGCCCAAAAACCGAGCCCTGCAGAATATAGTGGACAAGTATGGAGAGAGCAAAAACCTTCCCATCTATTGTCAATTGTGCGAGGGTGACCCTCAGGTGGCTGCCGTGATGTGCGAGCAGTGCGAGGTGTTCTACTGCACGCCCTGCCGCGACAACTGCCACCCCCCGAGAGGTCCTTTAGCCAAACACAACTTACTCACCCCTCAGCAGGGTAAAGCGGGGATCAAAGCCAAAAATAAGAGTAAAGAACCAAAATGCTGCGAACACGTGGAGGAAGCTCTTAGCATGTACTGCATGATGTGCAAAGCACCCGTTTGTGTATTGTGTTTGCAAGACGGCCGTCATGTGAGTCACGATGTACAGGCATTAGGATCCATGTGCAAAGCGCAGAAGGTAAGTGAAGTTTATGTTAACCAGAGAATTTAAAACCCCCTTCCCAAAATTTAATAGGGGGGGAGTGATTTATGGGTGGTTAACTTACCCACTGACTTCGCAAGATAGGGTTATTCTGAATAATTCATAGACATCTAAAACTGCGGTCTTGTTATAGCGTCGTAAAGCAGCAGTGGCACAGGCACCGTTTTCTAGTGTCACATGGCGTAGTATCACTGGCTATTAAGATGTAAATGAATGGCAGGCTCCATTTTTTTCCCCTCTCTCTCTCTCCCTTTCCTCTATATAAAATTTCTTAAAGAAAACCTGTTCCAGAAGTGCACCTCCTCTACAAAAATAAAAAACTTCCCCCCTTTTTTATTGGAGTGAGTTCGCAAAGTCTAGACAATCTGGGTTAAATCTTTATTGACTGCTACCTTTTATAGCCTTTCGTCAATGGGATGATTCCGATAATATTAAACACTAGAAAAAGAAGAAGAAGGAAAAAATGGGGGGTGGAGAGACAGAGAGAGAGAAGAAAAAAGTTAAGAGAAAAGTGTAGTTAATGATGTGTTGACGTTTCTGTCACTCTCCAATTGACTGGGACCATTTTTGAGACAGCTGCTGTCACTTTTCTTGTAAAAACAACAGACTGTCTGTTGCTGCAAGTAGATTCAATTACTTCCATTAACAGTATATTGAAGTTAACATCTGATACATTTATTGCTTTACTTCCGCTACGATAAGTTTTATAAGAAAGGCAAACAATCGGATTGATTCCTTTTATTATTATTTTTTTATTTTATATAAGCTCGGATTAGTCGCCATATTGTTTTTTAATCTAGTTCAGAAGATGATCCGCTCTCCTCCTTTTTTAAGATTTTGCTTTCCCTTCCGATTACTGTAAATCTTGGAACGGGGATTTACTATATTGAATTCTGATCTTCAGTGTATATATATTTAGTCAGAGAGTTAACCACCTTTCGAAACTCTAAACGTCCGGAAAGGTGTCTTTTTATGACGACGTTAACTAGAAAAGGGTCTTCTTTTTTTTTTACGTTCGTGTTAGCTTACTCCGTGGGGTGTTTACATTTTTATTTTACAACCCCGTGTTTTTCAGTAGTCACTCTCCTCTGTGTTCCCTAATTATTTGTACAAGTTGGGCGCTCCTCTGTTCCTTTATTGTTTACAGATTTTACTGTTATTCTAGGTTAGTTTTTCGTATGAATTTTGGCCTAATTCCTGTACTTTCTGTGGATTTTTTTTTAGTAGAGTAATGTGTAGGAGAGTATATTTTAATTTCTAATCCAGAATATATACTGTTTAGTATTATTATTGATTGGTGATAACAAAGGAGTTAATTCATAGAAGTCGTATTATCAAGCTAAAACACACAAAGACACTCGAGCGAATAATAACAATTTATTGGAAATCATTACAGTTTATCACTAAAGCTTTATTATCTAATTTCAATGTTAGATTAAAGCATTTAAATATATTATTTATAATGAAATAAGTCTCCTAAAAAATTCATGGTGTGTCGATTTATTGTTGAAAGTATGGCGCCTTCTCCACAGGAGTTCCTTTACCCCATGTCGATACTCAATAGAAAGTTATAAGGATGTGCTTTCCCCCTTTTTATGTTTCTTCCAGTTACTTTTTTCTCCCCTTTAATTTTTGAAAAGTTTATAAATTTTTTCTTGTAGAAACAATAATAATAATTAAACGTACACTGTACAGTATTTACATCTTTTATTCCTTCTTGTCCCATTAATATTTAATACATTTTTATATTCGGTTATTTTTTTAGTAGATNTAATTTTTGAAAAGTTTATAAATTTTTTCTTGTAGAAACAATAATAATAATTATGTTATTAAATTAATTAGTTCTTAATTTATGCAGCAGATGGCAGTGAGTTAATTTTAGTATTTAATTTTTTTTTTTTTTTTAATTTATAAAAGTTTTATGACTTTTTCTCTAAAAACTTTTGTAATTATTTATTCCCTTTCGAATGGATGTAATTATTTATTGTAAATATTAATAATTAGATAAGGAATTAGGTCTAATTTTAAGCACACCTTTAATCAATCGGTAGTGTATATAAGCGCGCCCCCTGGATAATAAAAAAGGTATGTTTTTATTTAAATTTTTTTTTAAATTTAAAATTGTCGGGTTCGGTAGCGACACGTTGCGTTACGTCTTTTGAGTATTATAAGCAGTGCATGGTGACATCATTCTAGCATACGGCGTGGTGTTATATGCGTTTTTTTCTCGTTAAAATCTATAGAGAAGTGCCTATAAATTTTGAATTTGTATGTACTGTACCGAAAATACACTTAACATCCGGAAACTCTTCGTATTCCTTATGCATATTTGTAATATATTTTCTATTCTTTTCACTTACTTTGCAGACATCTCTCACTTACTTAAAAGCATTCCGAGTTTCTCATTAATCATAATCGGAATTTAATTACAGAGTAATTATTGCGTTTGTGTGTGTGTGTTACACGCAATTTTCCATGTTGCCAACTTACTTGTGAAGTTTGGTTTTTTTGTCTTAGAAAATATTTTAACCCATCATTATTTATACAAAGTTCTTTGAATCTGCAGTCGAAACGAATAATCCCTACCAAACTTTTCTGTCTATCGTCCATGTTTTAACGCCTAGAGTAATGTTGACAGAATATAGAATTTCAGCTGCGGCAACCATATTTCTTTTGTCAGATTTTTCTCTCTTCAGTTCTTTTTTTTAAAGAATATTCTTCCTGTTATTGAGAGCTGGAATGTTTCATTCAATTTATTTTATCAAGCTTATGTAATTAAACTGTTTCTGTAGTACTGGTTCCTGCTTCTATTGTTGTTTTTCTATGTCTGCTTTTGTATACGTACACATAACTATTTACGTTTATAATTTTGTAATAAATAATATAAGTATTATCAAGTGTCGTTAATTACATATTAATGCTCATGCAAAATCATGCGAGCACTTTGTAAAGCATAAGTATTATACAAATGTATATTATTACACTAGTCTCTTGTTAATCCGTCCATTTAGGTGTGCCGGATTACTGAGTGTACAGACATAAAAGGTATTGAATGGATGACACGAAATGTACCGATTCTTTTTGTTGTTGTGAAATTGTGTACAGTGTATACGGATTATGGGCATTTTAAAAAAAAATGAATAAGAAAAGCATTATAATAGACGTGTGCCGGATTAGCAAGAGAGAGTACTGTATTTCGTAGAATATTTATAAATATTTTTCAAATCAAAATGCGTATATACAACGATTTGAATAAATATTTCTGCCAGGTTCTTTCTTTTTTTTTATTGTTAAATTCTCACAATGGAATCGTCTACTTGTTTAAATTGAACAATGGCGGCAAAACGGGCTAAATGGCCCAAACTGAATAAATGTCATTCCGGTTTTGTTTTACTCCATAGATAAAAGTAAATTGGAGTGACAACTCTGTCCACATCCAAATAATTCTTGACATCATTACAATTTTACAAGTTCCCCATCCGGTACAAAGTGAAAGTAGCATTCAAGGGCTACTTTCACTTACACAAGAAGAATAAGAAGAGGAGAAAAAATATATATATATATCTTAAAAATACATTATTCATAATACAATTTATCGAAACGTATTTTTAAAAAGCATCCACTCGAAACTTGGACACTTTTTTTTCCTTTTAGCAAGAAATTCCCAACTTTAAAAATGTTGAATATTTGCAAATTTAAATAATACAAAAAAAAAAAAAAAAAATTGGGGAAAGAATACCTTTACATAAGAAGTATTTTTTATTTATTTTTTCTTCTGTTTGTAAAAGAAGTTTCAATTCAAAAATATCGAAAGAAAATTCTTAATGGCACTCATCCCGAGAGATTGGTCATTGGGCGGAGTGAAATTCGAATTTATTCAAATTGAAACGTCTCTTTAACGGATTGTTGTTTAGTATATATTCAAATGAAAGTCGAATGACAATACCTCCGCCCAATTTCTCGAATTTGTTGTAAGAAATAAAAAAATAAACGGGTGATGTGCCGTGGACTTCCATCCCCGTAAGCTGTGATTTAAACAATGGTTCAAAGTTCGTACTGTTTACTTAGGTAGAATTTACTTTTAAACCGATTTAAAAACTTAATAATTTAACGTGGAAAAAAAATAGTCTACTGTTAAATAATTTTCTCCGAAAAAATATTTATTATTAATCATGGGTGATGTCTTGGAAAGATTATTTTTAGTTTAGAAACATTGGGTGGAGACAGAAAAGTAGTTTTATAAGCTCTAGTTTTTCTCTCTTGCCTTATTAAAACTGACCTCCATCAAATACTTTTTTTTTCCCCCAAATAGATCCTTAGAAGACGTGGAATGATTTAAAAAAGAAAAAAAATATTAATTAACTTAATAATACGTGATAATTCAGTTGTAAAATTAGTACCATTAAACACAGCTGTATAATTAGTTACTGTAATAATCCTTAAGGATTAACCACTTACAACTTGCATTACTATTCAGAATTAATTAGTAAGCCAGGTTTGATCTCTCTTATCCTTTGCATAACTCCATTTCGAATTATAATTTATATATATAAAAAGTAATTTCTTAGTTTGAAAAATGACATTTACATACGGTTTATAGATAATCCCAGCTCTTAGTCACGCGAGTGCTTCGTGTGATGTCTCATTTAGTACAAAAACTAGAGCATGCCACTCCGCCCAAACTCTTGAAACATTCCAGGGATATACCATTGTAAACAGTTAATTTATCCAAGAGCAGTATTTGTTTATTTACTCAGCTGCACGGTGATTTAAGCCAGTGACATTTTGTTCTAATGCTTTGGCATTATCCATCTAGTCCACGTTTGTTATCTGTGATGGAATCGTGTAGTTTCAAAAGCCCTGCTTTTATATATCTTTTCGATATCTGACCTTTATCAAAATTACCTATATAAATTCGCCATCGAATCTTCTGGGATGCCATACATCAATAACGGAATCTGACTTTCAAAAATGGC